AAAACAAACCAAACCTTCCCCCCCCCAAAAAAAAAATCAAAAACCACCAAAGATCTTTTTATGGTTCTTGCTTGATCTCTTGATCTTATGCTGTCATTGCATTTAATGGAATCATAGAATCATTTAGTTGGAAAAGACCTTTAAGATAATTGAGTCCAACTGTAAACCTAACACTGGCAAGTCCACCACTAAACCATGTCCCTAAGAGCCACATCTACACATCTTTTAAATACTCCTGGGGATGGTGACTCAGCCACTTCCCATGAGCTGATCCAACTCCCTCAGTGTAACTGGCTGTTCAGCCACTCAGTCAAACTCAAGGGAGAGGTTGTGAGCACCCAAGCAGGTGCCCCTTTTGCAGCAGCCTGCAGCTGGACTGGATTACAGTGTTACTGAACAGAGACATGCTGGTGTTTTCTGGCTATGTTATAGTTCCCCAGAAATTGTGTAGGTGTGGTAATTCCAAAAATATTTTATTGTAGATAATGTTCCAATAGTAATATGAGGCATAATCTTTTTTTTTCTTTAAAGTATGGTACATTTATTGTGAGGAGAACTCTAATTACTAATCTTTGCCTTCCTTTCCCCTCTGTGTTAATATGTATTGAGTCAGTAGAATAATACAGTAAGATTTCTTGTCTATGCATATCCTGGGTTTATGCTACTTAAATCTTTAAATAATCAAATGTTAACAAATCTCCTATGACACTTTCATTCACCTTTTACAGCAAGTTATTTGTAACCTATAGTTTTTGATAATGTTTCATATTATTTCCTCTGAAGTGTTTGGGGCCTACTGTTTTGTTAGGAGCAGGTCTTTTAAATGTCAAGGCTGGGGGACTACTGTGATAATGCTCAGGGGCTGGGCAGCTGATTAGTTAGGAATGCTACTTACTGACAGCAGCGATTCCCACTGCACATGCTGTTTTCTGAAAAGAAAACTGCTGCTTTCAAGGATTTTGTAACAGCATTTTCTGAATGGTTAGCTGCCAAGTGGCCTTTAAAAGATATTTTATAGTCTGTAGCATCTAGAAGGGAATAGATCAATACTTTGTGCACTGTAGATCAAGAATGATAATAATGTTTAATAATTTGAGAAGGATTTGATTTTGTATTTTTCTGGTTCCTCTCCGCGCCCCCTCAAATCTGACTTGCTGGTCTGGCATTTTTGTTTTCACAGGGGAAAGCTATGTATGTGGTTCCATAGAACCCTTCAAGAAACTGGAGTACACGAAGAATGTAAACCCAAACTGGTCAGTGAATGTTAAGACAACTTCTACTTCTCGTTCAGTGCCGTCTCTTGCCACTGCTAAAGGAGGTACTCCAGATGCAAAAGAGAATAAGGATTTCATTAGGCCTAAACTAGTCACTATCATCAGGAGTGGAGTGAAACCACGGAAAGCAGTCCGGATTCTGCTCAACAAGAAGACAGCACATTCATTTGAACAAGTTCTTACTGATATAACTGATGCCATCAAGCTGGATTCAGGGGTGGTTAAACGCTTATACACACTAGATGGAAAACAGGTAAGAATTTTTGTGATGAGAATTCTCAGCATGAAGAAAATATAGTTTTTCAAAGGTAAAGAACAGTACATTAGTAAAAATTTACTTTTCTCTAGGACATAGGCCTTCCACTGCTTATAGTATACTTAAGATCTGTGAGCACTTCAGGAACATATCATGAAGCACTACTTGGCCTCAGTGATGGTCTTGCCATTTATGATAAAAAATAGCTCTAAATCTGTCAGTCAATAGTGCAATGTGGTTTTAGCTCTGCATGCCGGAACCGTAGGATGAAGGATGTCGTCTTAAAGAAGCTCATTCTATTAACTTGTTTCAGCTTTTTCTTGCAGCGATTTTATGAGTCATTGTACTTGCCTTTCATAAACTGTAAGAAAAAAAGAGTGAGGATATTCCATGATGATAAATGCAGGCGTATTGCTGTCCAGAGTGACCAAATGGTGAATCTTACTGCAGCTAGAATGGAGTATGAAGAAGATGCAAGCTTAGAAAATGAGTGAGCTTTTTCCCTTTTGCAGGAAAACAGGTAGGGTTATGTGTGGTGCCCACATTTATTGAAGAGTCTCTTGCAGGTTAAATGTTATTTTTTCTATGAAATACCTTCAAGCAGTGTCTCTTTTTTGCTGACTTATTAAATTACAGGAGGTTGAGATTTTTGAGAGGCTTCTTATTGAACTTGGGGATGGAGGGACAAGAAAAAATATTACAGAGTAATCCTACTTCTTTTTTGTCTTTCACTTTATTTGTAATTTACGGACATGCATTAATTATAGCAAAACTGGAGAAGCTGTTAACCTGGTGAAGGACAAGACTAATTTCAGCATGACCTGAATTGATTTAGAGCAATGGTGACTCTGGAGAAATAAGGCAAATACTTGCATTTACAGATGTAACTTATTAAACTGAAGAAATGATAGAGGTATAAAATGTGGGTAGAAGGATGAAAGAACAGTCTCCTTGAGAAGCTAGAAACTGCTAGAGGCTGAGATATTTCTACTGTAATATAGCTGTGTCTTACAGATTCTAGGCTCAATGATTCATAGATATACAGCTAATAGTGTAGCTATCAGGAGATACTGAAAAATATGCTTGGTAGAGGTAAACATCAGTCAGCTAGATGCTGGCAGTGATCCTAACATGTCTGCAGTTACTGGGGTTAATATGCAGGCATAGCTCTGGAAAAGACTACATTAGTACCCTCTGATCTCAGGGAGGGCTGGTTAATGGGCAAGCTGCTTATTCAAAGCACTGGTTCAGAACAGGGCCAAGTCTGGCTTGACCAGAAGTCCCTTCCATCTCCTGTTTTCTATCAGTAACTTCTGAGCGACTGTAACTGCTGTCAGTTCTTGATGACTCTGCATACATGCCTGCAATGATCCCATTACTGTGACGTCATTGGGAACTTTGACCTGGAACAAAAATGTGGATCTGAAGTTCTTTTTGCCTGCAACAAAGGTAAAGTGTGTGTCTGGGAAACTCTCAACTGCTGTCCTTCTTAACTTGCCTCATGCTCCAGGGAGCACTAAGGCTAGTAAATTTGAGGAAGGAGTTGGGATTTTAAAGCTGCAGAGATCGGGGGTGGTCTCTGCTGTGACCTCGACAGAAGATCTTGAGTGACTATTCCAGTTCTTGCAGACCCTCTCAATAAAAAGGGACACATATCTGTTTTGTATTGTGTATGCAAATAAACTTGTGGTTTAGTTATTAAGAAGTGCAGCCTGGAAGGGTGTTGATATGGCCTGTTGTCTCCTGGATAGTGTGCTCACTTTATATTTTTTTTTATAGTCCAAACTCCCCTTTAATGGTTGTGCTTAAAACAAAGAAATACCTTTACATCTGTTTTGAAGTTCTAATCCTGGAAGTAAATAAAAATGTTCTACTACTGGGGAGAAAGGGAAGAGTGGGCTTTCCTGGCCTTGATGTTGTCAAAGTTCAGTTGTCAACTCACAGGATTTGAGATGAGCTTAAATCAGTGGTGTACTGGGACATTTGTTACCTACTTCGTAGCCTGAAACCCATGTGTCTAAAGCTCTTCCAGGAGACTGGTGCCTCCATGCCTATTCACTCCTTCCCATTCTGGCTCTTCACTTGAAATTGCATAGCTGGATGCCTAACCCTACTAGTAAGGGCAGGGTTTGGGGGAGGTGTGTGCGTCCCCTGACAGTGTAATGGAGACTTTGCTTACTGCATGTACAAAGCAGCTTTGCTGGCAGAAAGGGAAATGAATGATCCTGTGCTCAGCAGGAGCAGCCTGTTGCTCACCCCTGCATGGGGAAGTCATTGATTTCCCGTGCTGTTAGGCAATTGCTACTCCATTTTTCTATGCCAAAAGCGTGATCGCCCAGATGGTGTTGGGTGCATGGTGATGAATTTCTTTATTGCTAAACTCAAGCTGTGAATGATTACTGGGAGGAAATCCATGGTAAATCCAAAGTTTTTCCAGTATTGTTTATAGTTGGGAACTTCTACTGTGACTCCCGTTGGAGATTGGAAGGTTCTGGAAAAGCCTATGTTCAGTGGTTAAATCTAACAAATCTGCGATTAAATCTTTCATCGCTATCTTAAAAAGCAATAAAATCTTAAAGCTCTTAGCCAAGAAAAATAATTTACTGTAAGGATAAGAGAATAAAGCTCTCCTAGGATCATTCTTTGGGAATGTAACTTGGAAGAAAGGCCATTCTGTACGGTCATCTCTTGTTGAGTTATTTTATGAGGCCAACACTGGAATTGCCCATCCATGGTGAAAATTGACGTGAGTCCCATATATTGTTAGTGCAGATGCTATACTCTTGTTGGGTACTATCATTAGAAGCCTCAGGCTAATCAAAAGAGTAGTAGGAGCCGGAGTCTTAACTGGGCATCCGAGTTAGGTAGTTGTCCCGTACAGACACTACACATTGAGGAATTGAGCTTGAACACTCTCCCTCCAACAGCCTGGCTAGTTGTGATGTTTTAATTTGTCTCTCTAAAAGACATTAATAAATAATATGCTCAGCTAAAAGGAATTTAAATGGTGGCCCATAAAATTTGATGACAGTGTAAAGACCTTGTCTTGATGAGACAGGTAGTGCTTGGACAGTCAGTACCTGAGGAAAGTTACGATTGGAAGAAGGCTCTTCCATGATGTCCAGTTGCTTCCCCCATGCATCACCATGTTTTGTAGGTCATCCTGAGAACTGGAAGGAGCTTGGTTAAGTAGGTGTGTTGTAGTAGCCTTTTCAATTTTTTAATGCTGAAATAGAAGAAGAAAGGGAGGGAAACAAACCCCAAGAAAGGAAACCCTGAGAAGACAAACCCCAACAAAAGTAACTGATCCTGTCTCATCAGGTCAGTGCCAGCTCAGGGACTGAAACTTGATGTTTTCCAGTATTGGGTAGGTGTTTATTTTGGATTACATGAATTTAATTTAATTTTGTTAAAATGTATTTCTCCTTGTAACAAACACCGTGACTAGTGGTTTATTTGCAGTTCCTTATAACTCATGTCAGTATAACTCATGTCAGAATCTGTATTTTGACTTCGCGGTTTCTGAAACTTTAGAATATAATTTAATGTGTGCAAAAAGGGGCACAACATGCAACTGCAATCTGATCGTATAACAGATGGGTGGCCTGCATTTAGCATACTCTCGCAGTTCAATTATTAATGATTCCTCAAAGCAGGATAGGTTTCAAGTTGTCTAGAATAGTATATGTATATTTTCATGGATATACTTGTTTTTTTGACTGGTACAATGGACTGATGCTGTTTGGAGGAAGAGATAGAATGATTTCCCTGTAAGATACTGATGGATTTGAAGAAGATGATGGGACTCTCAGAAGTGTTTACCAGTCTTATGAGCTCAGGCCAAAATTAAAACCAATCCAGAGGGAGGTCTTGAAGTGTTCTCCTTGCCGACTTTGCTGTGTAAGGAAAATAAAAATAAAATGAGAAGGTTTAATGGCTGCCTGTAGGAATTCAGATCATGAGGGCATGCACTTACTGTGAGTATTAACTCATTTTTTTTAGATTAAAAGATTGTTTAAGTGCATGAAAAGGTATTGTTAGTATTGATCCTTAATATTCTCAGGTACTTGTGCAGAGAAGGAACACTTTCTCATAGCTAAAATATGTCTTGCTTTAGTGTAGCTGCACCATTTCAGTTTGGTTTTTAACCTTCTCTTAAAGGTGCCATTTTTACTTTGATGTGCATTAAAATATGATTTTGTAGAAGGCGGTGTGTGGACACACAATGCAAACATCAAGGGTGCAAGCTGTCTGTGGAAAAAGAGCCTGGTTGCTCTGTTGCAAGCTCAGTTCTCTGGTTTCTGTGTACTGATGCACTTCTAGAACAACACCAAAGACTAAAATGGGAGAATACTAATGAAGGTCACATGTAACAGCAAAACTGAGAAACAGTGCAATTGTTAGAAGTGTTATGGTGTGTGTATTTGTACAGGGTATTTACAATTTGCATGTTTAGACAAAGACTAAAGTTTGGAGAAAAGTGCTTTATCACCTTGTAAGTCCTCTGTTTGCTTTTGGAAGAACAAACATCTGCTTTGTAATGGGACCTACTTACTTGAACAGGTTGTTTGTTTAGCTTAGCTAGATACAATCATGCAAATTATTTTTCAGTTCATGTATTATGCTGTGGATTTGACTCCAGACAGCTAAGTGGTCACTGGCAGAGATACCAGAATAGAAGCCACCGCCTGATTTTTTTTTTTTTAAATATGCTATTTCAAGTCAAATTACCTTTACAAATATGGTAATACAGCTGCTGTTACTTAAAGACATAACAGAAGTGTGTGTGAGAGGCGTAAGAGTGGAATGGGAGCAAATGCCTAAATAACCTTGCTTTAAGCCATTAAAATAGCTTTTAAAAAAATCGAGGCTGCAAGGCAAGGGAACATCACAGTTCTGGAAAGCTTGAAGCTTCTTCATAGAGTGTTTTATGTTTGTGTTTATTGGAACCCCACTCCAAAGACAGTATCTTAGGATACAAACAAACTCCCTTTCCTGTGGACTCCTCTCTGTGAAGGCACCTAATATCTTAGCTTTTAATAAGGAATTAATACTACTGTTTTAAGAAAGTGCTCTTAAGAAAAAGAAAGCAACTGTTTGTGCCTACACCTGAACTGAGCATATTTTTTTTTATTGTTTTGTGCTGAATAAGTGAAAAACATTGGGTAATAATGTCTGTATTCTGCAGTAAGTTCTTGGCCAAATCTACCCTTGTGTAGGATGGATTAAAGATCTCAAATGTCTTTCTCTAGATCTGGATTGTCCTTTGGTACAGAAAAGCCTGCATAAAGCAAGATAGGTATCATTCACTAACAGACATGCCCTACTTAGCATTTGTGTAGCGTACGTTATGCAACAATCAAGACAAAATCGATGTTAAACCAAATAAAATTTATGTGCGGCAAGTGACTCATTTTGTGTGTGCTCTGTAATTTTGATTCACATCAGTGTTTGTAATCAGTTCAACTCTTAATATAGAAGGCATATTTAATTT